GACAGGTCCCCAGTCTGATGTCACCCCATGCACTGAAACCCTTTGTGCCTGACCCGTGAGCCAGTTGCTCACCCGTGCCATGGTGTATTTATCCAGATGTGTGCTGGACATTTTGTCCAGGAGGATCCTGTGAAAGCTTTACTGGAATAAAATACTGGAGGATCCAGTATTGAAAGTTTTACTGGATTACAAAAAGATTATATTAACTGGCTTCCCTTGAACAGCTAGGTGGGTTACCTTGTCGTTAAAGGAAATCAAATTTGATAAATAGGACTGTCCTCTCAGGAAGCCATGCTGGTGATCAATGTTCGCATTACATTTTAGGTGTTTTTCAATGCCTCTAGGAATAATCTCCATACCTTTCCCATGCACTGAAGTGAAACTGGCAGGTCTGTGTTTTCTGGGATCATCCTTTCTACCCTTCTTGCCCTTCTTGAAAAGGAAAATGTGTTCCAGCTCCCAATCAGCTGGGACCTCTCCAGATTATCAACACTGCTCAAAAATCATCAAGAGAGGATTTATGATAATGTCAGTTAGCTCTTTGAGGATTCTTGCATGATTCAAATCAGGCCCTAGAGATTTGTAGGGATCCACGCAGAGCAGTAGATCCTGCAAAATTTCAGGGTCTGCTGGGATTTAATCATGTTTGCAGCCATGGTCCTCCAGTTCAGGGCACATTTCAGGTGTGGTATATTGTAGCCAGCACCTTGTGAAGCATACCAAGGGATCCCATTGGTGTTCATTTCCTCAAGATTCGGCACACAAACCCATTGCTCTTCACTGGTCAGCCTGGTTTTGTCCCTTTCCCCTTTTCCAAGCTCCTTTAGAGCTCTGTCAACATTGCCCCTCTAGCTGCTCTGGGCATCTTGACAAGTTTCGGTAGACCAGAAGGAAGTGATGTCTTGATCTTATTCAAATTTTGGAGATGGCAAAAAGAGTTCCTTGCTCAACAGCAGGGCTGTGGCTGCCCCACCCCTGGAAGTGCTCAAGGCCAGGCTCGATGGGCCTTTGAGCAGCTCGGTCTAGTGAAAGGTGTCCCTGCCCATGGCAGGAGGGGTCAAAGCAGACGATCTTTAAGGCCCTTTCCAACCCAAACCATTCTATGATTGTATGAATTATCTCAATGATAACTGATTTCCAAATTCACTTTTAAATGTAGACCAGTTTTCATGGGTTTTATTACATTAGCACGATCAGACGAATGGCTTTATGGAGCCAACTGCCTTAGAGCACCACATTATGAACTAATTTCATTACTACTTGGCAAGAAGTAGTATCTGGAAGTCTCCTTGCACCAGGGCTTACAGAAAGGGCTGAAGGCCAGCACTGTAATTTCACTAAATGCAATCATTTTACCACAGCATTGCACTAAACCATTATCTTGTTCCCCCTTAAGACACTTAGTTGCAAACAGGCATTCAGATCATTCCCACCCCATTAATCCAAGATTAACAAAACAAATATGTTCCCACACTGCCGATTTTTAGAAGTTATATCTGTACATTGGTAATTTCAAGTTCACAGAAGCATGGCTTTACTCATAACCAGAACAATGCAACAGTTCTGCAAGGAAAAAAAATTATATATATATATATATATATACTCTTTGGGGTTCTGCAAGGAAAAAAAATAAAATATATATATATATGTTCTGATTTGACACAGGAGACATACAAGAGTTTGAAATTTGGCTGCATTCAAGCTACTGACCCTTGTCTGAAGTCAAGTCCAAAATCAACTGCTAAGAAAGTAAAATTTCCTATTGGAAAGGTTTTCCCACAAATATTTTTACAAAGTTCTTCTTTCTACAGTTTAAATGTAAGTAATTATGTAAGTAATTATGTAGTTATTACAGCAAACTGTACTGCTCAACTCAAGAGAAGAGATGCTTCATTCTTTTTCCCCAAAAACATAAGCTTTCCTGGTACTCCACATGCAACAGCATTACAGAAACTCTAGGAATTGTTTTCCATATTATAATCTGTACCAGTATTACTTTCTGGTCTAAAACCTTTCAGTGTGACTGTTTCATAGAAATTCAGTAGGTGTGGAAAAGAATACCAAGTACTGCACTTAAGAATTAAACTTCAGTTTTGTAAATACCTAGAAATTTTCTGGATAGTCTCCAAAAGTCAACCCTACTCCCCTGTTGCACATTGTTCAAGGCTCTCAGAGAAATGCAGGAGAAACAAAGACCAGGCAAGATGTAAAGGCCCTGCACTGCATGTTTGATCAAATCTCAAACACTTTTTCCTCCTTCTTTCAATCAGATTCCACTGATGGGCTGAATTCTGTCAGATACTAAGCACCTACCACTCCTGATCCCACTCACAAGTCAACAGCACTCCAACTCTTCTCAAAAGGGAGAGGTAGGCTTATTTCTTAGCCCATTTTATGTAACATCTACAGGACTTGAGAGTCTTGGGTAACTCAGCCTCATAAAATCCCACTTGACTGCTCAGTGTGAGAAGTAGAAAGGGATTTGCCACACATGGCACTGCTGTAAGAGCAGTTGAGGGATGAGTAACATGCTGGAGCAACTTGGCCAGTTGCACATCAGACATGGATTCAGTTCTCACATCAGACATGGATTTTGCTGTCCTGCTTCAGTGGGGTTCAAGGTGGTCTATTCTACCCAGAGTTGGAGTGACTGGTTGGCTGGGGTGCTGAGTAGCTGGGCTGCCAGCACAGGGAATAGTTTGGGACCCTATGGCTAATTAAAAACTCAGACTTGATCCTAATAATTGCCCTTCCTCAGAGGTACCAAGGATTCCAGTGACAAGGGATGCTTAGTTGGATATCTCAGCTCTTATTCATACAAACTTTGAGTTTAGTTTACCTAATTGATGTAGCTAAGAAAAATAAATTGAAATAATGACTCAAACTAACTATGAGTTCTTGGAAAAAGGTCTTTCATAGGGGGTGGGTTAGGGCAAGAATGTTATAGGTGTAAGCCCACCCTTTGCCATTATCTGCTATCAAAGTGACTACTTCAACCACTGACCTCATCTAATTGAACAACCAAGGGCCCTCACACACAGAACTGGGAAATCTGGACACAGGAGTGAATTCCTGCAGCATCATAGTGGTTGTACTCATCTTCTGCCAGCCTCAGCAAAAACACTAACAAGCACTCCATAAAATCTATCTTAAATGACTGATTCAAGTCAAGAGAGCATTACTTTGCCCTGTTATTAGTGATTAGTGCTTATTATTATAAGCAACTTTCACTGTTAAGCATAACTTAATAACTTTCACTGTTATTAGTGATTAGTGCTTATTATTATAAGCACCGATCCTTCCCACAGGTCTCAACATGATCTTCATTGGTTTATGCCTGTGAATGGATAAGAGATGTGATTTATTACTTTCTCCATATTTTTTAATTGAGATGGTCATAGTCTACTAAGTGACACTTTTAAGACCTTCCCTGAGTGAATACAGTTAAATGTTATGTTTGATATAAGTATTCTGTCCTGACCCTAAAACATTTTTATGCCACATTTTCCATCAGCTTGTTAGTCCTCAAAGAGGAAAAGACACATTTTCTCTGCATTGCTTCACATGCATCCTTAAAGCTTAGATTGCCATTTTATAGGCAACAATTCTTTATAAGCCTGTATTTTAATGTTATTAGCTGCCAAAATATGAAGTGTCTCATCCAAAACATTAAGTTTATGCCACATTTTCCATCAGCTTGTTACTCCTCAAAGAGGAAAAGACACATTTTCTCTGCATTGCTTCACATGCATCCTTAAAGCTTAGATTGCCATTTTATAGGCAACAATTCTTTATAAGCCTGTATTTTAATGTTATTAGCTGCCAAAATATGAAGTGTCTCATCAAAGAGGTTCACTACATGCATCCTTAAATCTTAGCTTGCCAGTTTTATAGGCAACAATCGTTTATGAGCCTGTATTTTAATGTTATTAGCTGCCAAAATATGAAATGTCTCACTGAAGAGGTTCACAAATGTAATTATTTAAGATCTCAGACTCATTCAGACTCTTTTCCCCTAATGAATGATGTCACCTTCTCTCTTGAAGTCTTGCTTGTTTTCAGTTGTTTAACCAAATGCAAAATGTGCCTAGCACTACAGTTCAGGCTTCACAACATATATCAGAAATTGTTAATAGACTCACAAGAGGAAGACCACTGTAGGCCAGTTGTGAAAGACCAGGAATAGCTGAAGAAGCTATTCTTCAGGAATAACTGCTGTGAAATTAGGTCCTTTGTTTAATTTCTAATCTTCCAAGAACTGAGGAGAGATCTTTACACAAGAGTACAAAGAATAGTAGATCTATTTAAATACTTGGCTTCTTCTGCAGTGTGAATTGATCAGGGTGAAAGAATTCCTCTGCTCATATCTCTGATACTAAAATTAGAATAATAAGCTAGACCACAGCATCCAAATATGCACCTTGACATTGGATTAAAAAATGCTGTTATTATTTCTGTCAATTGCTGTCCACCCTGGGCAGTAATATACCCTGTCAGTGACATCTCATCATTGTCCTCACTCTGGGAGGCAGGCCAGGGGGACATCTGTGCCAGAGGCTTTGAGCATATCTCCACAAATCTCCTCACAGCTCCAGAAGTGAGCTCAACAGGAGCATACTTCAGAGGATGATGATGATGGATTAGGTACCTTACAATTAAGCATTTTAACAAGCCAAGTCAAATTCTGTCCCCATGTTAAAAACAAATGAACAAACAAACCTAAAAGATCCCCAAACCCAACCCTCAAAATTAAATAAAACAACAAAAAAACCTACCCCAGAAAAAATGCCACATTGATTCAGAGTTTCCAGTATTTACACAGATCTCAGTGTTTAAGAGACAGTTAAAAAGCAAACAGGTTTTCCTCAAGGCAGTTTTTTCCCCATAGTGCAATATTGAGTACAGGTTTCATTTCAGGAAGAAATAAACCTATTGCACAGAGGTTTTGAGAAGAACAACCACATTTTGTACACTCAAGAGCACTTAGGGTGAACACAGGGATATAGTCAAGACACACATATTTAGACACAGCATAACAAAGTGAATGCAAATCACTCTATACCACTTTGTGGAAGGAAGGATACATCTATGGCCATGCTAGGAAATAGAAAGAGATGTGCTATCTTTCAACACATGGAAAAATCAAAACTTCACTGAGGAGTTATGGGACCTGACAAGTCATATACTTGAGCTTGGGGCTCTGTGATTCGAGGAGTATGCAGCTGCAAAGAGTTCACAGCTAGACTGACAGAGCTGGAGTAAGGCAGAGTATCAGTACTGTGGTGTTCCCCTCAAGTGGGAAGCCCCATGCCTCTCCACAGCAGTTTGGTACCAATACCTCAAGGGCTTGACTGGGCTCCAGGTCATCTTTAGGTAAGGCCCTGTAAGAGAAGAGGAGAAGAAGCTCTCAGGCACTGGGCTGAACTCTCTGCAGAGCCTCAGGCAGGCAGGGGCTGGCAGGAGCAAGGGAAGAAGGGAATACCCCACAGGAAGAAGAGCAGAACTGCTCTCAGCCAGTTTTGCCATCAAAGGAAAGCCACTACTGCTCTGTGGCCCCAGGGACAGATATCAGCACTCACAGATGGGAGCACATTCCTCACTGTGCTCAGTGTAGAAAACTTAATTTAATGGGCTTTAGCTACAGCAAGTGGGTTTTCAATAGCTAAAAGCTTTCTAGAGTGAGAAATTAATGAAGGATAGGAGCAGGTGGCACAAGGAGTTTGTACAGTCTGTGTTACTAGAAGTCAGGAGGAGACTGGACAAGGATGATGCCCCAGGCACATGGCATTATTCTGCCTTTGGACAGGAGGATAAAGCAGTTCCCCCAGTGTTTGATGGTCTTATTTGACATAATTTTTGGCTCCCAGAGGTCCAGTACAGAGACTTTGGCCATAGTTACTTCGTAAAGAGGATATTCCCTTCTTTCCCTTCACTCACAAATGTATAGGGTTTTTTAAAAGTGAGAAGACACTTTAGTAGATAATTGACTCTTTAAAGGTAATTACATAATTGGGTCAGGGGTAATGAAGAGCTATTAGGGGTTCTCAGACCTGTAGTTCTCATATAGATCAATTACTGAGTTGATACATTCTTCAAGAGAAAATTGTTCTTAATTACATGCCTTTTGACCCCTCTACTTTCTGTACTTGTCTCACTCATGTATATAGTGCCATTGAAGTGGGTATCATTTCAGGAATCCAGTTGAAAATAATTGGAAGTTGGCATCATTTTACAGAAGGCCACAAAGCATTAGGGACAGGCTCAGCCTAGATGGGGTGCCTTCTAACAGTCATGCAGACTTGTTTCATCCTATTCTTACTTTTCCTTGAATCATCATCTCTTCTCTTGTCCTGCCACATGGTAGGTGTAAGTAATTAATGTCTGCAAAATGCTTTAACACCTGGGCTGAAAGAAACTACACAGGAATGCTGGTCATTTGGAACAGTTTCAGAAACAGTCACAGCATACTCACTAATTTTATTCCCAGTGTGAATTTCCATGAGTAATTTTCAGTGCTCATAACTGCCAAAAGCAGATAATTTCTTGTATCCAGAAACTGTATTAGCTCTTATTGTTTGCCTATTCACTAAAGGAAATATTTTTCAAAGGTCAGCAAAGTAAATAACAGAGCTTGCAAGAGTTTTGAACCCCATCCATCCCACTGCACAAAACCTCCATAAGGAGCCTTGTCCCCCATGATTCTCTTGGCAAGAATGTGTGCCCAACACCAACACTCCCTCCCTTCATGAGTGGCATTTAAAATGTACCAGTTATACATGAAACTGCTGGAATGCTTTATATCAGGAATGCTACCTTTGAATAACCAGCCTATTTAGTTAATCACCAAAGTGTCTTGATCTTTATCAAATGCAATTTGAGAGCCAAAGCACATGAGTGATTTCCATTTTTAACCAGCAGCTCTTCAGTACAGTGCAGCATAGGAGAGATAATCCTGGTGCAGTGGCAGCTACTGCAGAAACTCTGCTCATGTTGTCCAAGCTAGATGGGGCTTCTAGCAGACTATTGTGGAAAAATACAGGAAAAAAAATAAATTAGAAAGCCCCAAACACCTCTACCATCCCTACTATAAACCTGTCCCAAGCTGCTGACCTTTTGGGCACACAGCAGAATGCTGTGAGGAAGAGGATGCCCTCTCGAGTGATGGATTCAGCTGCTGGGCTGAACCCCATTTTAAACACTGCAGGGAGCAGCTCATCCCCAGTCCTGTGTGTTAGCATGCCTGCATTGGAGCAGACACTATTTTCAGAAGAGTCCAAGCCACTTAAAGGTGTCTGTCTCCTTGAAGTAAGACAGGTACTGTTGAAAGCAACCTTTCTCTGCTCTCAGTTATGGTCATGTGCATTGAGGTTGCTGTGAATTGCTTGAGGAAGCAGCCTACAGAGTGGTTTTCAGTGAAACAGATCAAAGATCATAACTTTGCTCCACTCAATAACCTTTTGTGGTTTTGTTGTATCAGCATTAATCATCTTCTTTCTTTCTTCTTCAAAACCACCCATCCATCTTTCAGGTTGATGGAAGATATTTGCCCATTAAGAGCACATTATTGCTAGGAACAGCTTGTCCACCATGCAAAAAGTGCTATCACTCCTTAATATAACCATGTTCTGCTGCTGTATGCTTAGGAGAGAAGTACCTCAGGGCTTTTAGAGCATCTTCTTTGTGGCTGCTCTACACCTCCTCTTTCAGCCTACATCTGCCTCACTAACTAGCCCTGCACCAGGGTGATTCTCAGACACAACTGTTACTGTCATTTTGTTTTCCTCAAACAGAACTCTCTCTCTTAAATAGTTCCTTAGAAAACATTTTGTCTTTTCTATGATGCCCAGCTGGACAGCCAGAAGTAGAAATCACTATGACAGATATTAATGTGTTTTTGATATAAAACATCCCACAGGGAAGGTGACCACTTAGTCATTCCTCCCCCTTAGCACCAGGAGTAAATCTAAATGACAACTTTCATAGTCCAAGTCTTCTAATTCTCTCTATTTGGCACATGGATAATATTTTTTTTTTATTCTGAAGACCATGAATGAGAAAGTTTTGGGAGGAAATTACCTGGTGTGGCTGAATCAATGGCAATGACCACAATCAATGGCATTGACCAACACTCTTACAAGTGAGTAGAATCAGCAACTAAGACCCAGCACAGGGAGCAGAGCGGAGTTTAAATAAAAAGCACAGATCAGCACTTAGCCCTTAGTCTGAGTTATTGTCCTTCATGTCTCAGATATAACTCCTAGGCAAATTCCATCATGCAAAATCCTATGAGATTCATAGACCTTGGACTCAGGTTTTCTCCTGTAGGAATTTCATTGATAAAAGTGATAAAGTATTTTTCCCCTGTTTGAATCTCACATATTTGAAAGCAGACAGCAGTACAGCAGTTGTCTGTTCCAGTGCTGTGATAATGCTGGCCTCCAAGCCAGGCTTCAAAGGTTGCTCTGACCTTAGGAAGTGACTGCAAGAGGCAAAATCTCCTGTTATCTTGTTATACCATTTATTCCAGAAGAAATACCACAAAAAGTTTCCATTGCGGCATTTTCCCTTTATTATGGGGGGTATGGTGGGAGGAAAAGTTTGATGAATTGTGTATTTCACAGTATTCTCAAAACCAACTCTTTCAGAAGTCAGCTTGCATGACAGAGAGGGTATGAATTAAGAATAAAATTTTTTTCAGAGTACCAAACTTTTATTGCTTCTTTTGGGGTGAATGGGATTAGAGACAGAGGGACTGATGCCCTGATTTTTCAAAAAGCAAACTCTCCTCACAAACTATCTGTAAGAAGCTGCTCTCTAGGCATAAAAGTATCTCCACAGCTCTAAAAAGCAATGATACCTAGATTTTATCTCAGCCATTTATCTCATAAATGGTTTAAATGTTGCAATAGCAACAGCCACTAAATCTCAAAAGGGCCTATAAACCAGCTCCCAGTCTGGGGCTAGACTGTCTAGTTATTTTTGGATTTACATTGTACAGTTACATTAATTTGAATTTATATTGTTACATTAATTGTACACTTAGAAACACTCTCACTGGTAAATCAGCCAAGAGCAATCTATGCACAATTTGTTTGCTTTCACAATTTATTTAACATTAATCAAATCAAATAAACCACTTTTTCTTATTTTGAAGAACTAATACATAACTATTGAATATAGCTGTTTTCTTGAGATTTCCTCAAGAAACACTTTGACATTTTGCAGAGGAATGTACTCCAGGCTGCAAAAGCAAACAACTCATAGCAGCAGTGGATTTTACTCTGCTAACTCAACTAGAAGATAAGGAAAAAAAAAGTGGATGTCTGCAGCATTTTTAATCTATCGGCTGTTTGAATCTCCAGCTTCTGAAAAACCTCGAGGATGATATTTATGTCCAAGAAACACAGTGGGCCAGAGCAAGGGTCTGATAGGTGGTGCAAGGCAGGATACAGCTGGAGAACCAGCAATGCCTGTACCATGAGGGAAAGGCATCACATTTACAGGCACAGCTGCACCCTTGGCATAAGAAACAGGACAAGAGGAAAGGGCCTCAAACTGAGCTAGAGGAGGTTCAGATTGGATATATGGAAAATATTCTTCAGTGAAAGGGTTGTCAAGCATTAAAACAGGCTCCCCAGGGAAGTGGTAGAGTCACTATCCCTGGAGCTATTTAAAAGGTGTGCAAATGCAGCACTCAGGAACATGGTTTAATGGTGGACTTGTCAATATTGGATTAATGGTTGGATCTGAAGATCTGAAAGATCTGTTCCAACTTAACCAGAGTTTATGATTCCTTGTGTTAGTACTGAAGGACACTGACTCACAAACAGCAAAGTACTTCAGATACTACAAGACTTTTCTTCTTGCAACAGCCAAAGAGATGCCATATGGCTGTTGACATCCCCTGACCCATTCCCGAGCCCTTAGCACCCAAAGGAACTTCCCACACAACGTGGGGTGGTGGAGCCTTGCAGGCTGCCAGGGCAGATCCCACCAGCTCAGCACCCACTTCCCTCTGGCCCTCACAAATGAAGGGTTTCAGTCCCACACTCCCTGCTGGCCAGTGTCACAGGCACCCTTAGGCTGTGAGGTGTTTCATGTGCTGCAGATGAGCCTCCACACGCCACACGTGCTTTACTCAAACTCCAGCACTGGAGCAGCTGGGAATAGCACCTGTTTTTCAGCAAGGAGCAGGGATGAGGAGCACTTGCGATTCAGATTTCTTAGACAGGGAATGTCACATATGCTGATCTCTTTGCACAGTGGACAGGCTGGAGGAGGGAGAGCAGCCCTGAGCCTCTCCCATCATAGGTGCTGGTATCACAAAGCCAGCTGCTCAGACACAGCCTGGTTTTACACTCACAGCCCAACGTGACAGAAG